TCCCTTTTTCTACCCAGTTGTGCCTCACATCTGTAGAGCCATAGACTTGTAAGTCCATGCAATTTCACCATGCTTTGTCCCACACCTTTTGCTACCTCTGATGAACACGTTCTTGACAAAAACTCTGAGGTCACTGGTATTGGTTCTCATAATTACCTTGATTCCTTCTTCTCTTTGCTCAGGGGCAATAATTTTGATGAAGGAGTAAAATAACTGCCTGATTCGTGAATCACCAACAAAGGCCACACGCTTTTCAGCCAAACAGGTTTTGGCTTCACTGTAATAAGAGAAGAAGAGACAAAAGAATGGGTAGGGCATGTGAAAAACATGCCTTCTAACAACTGCAACAGCAAACAAGTAGGTGCTGGGTGGTTCATTGCATTGTATAACCCTTTTACACATAACCTGTTCATTTCCTGTATGAATCCACCCTTACAGACACGCACCTCATCATCACTGCTGCACATTCAGATCTTTGTTTCATATATCTGTACATATGGTGATCTTACACAGTTAACATGACTCACTTGCTTTTGTATTTGTGCATAATACAGCCATAAGGCTGCCATACGTTCTCCCCCAAGTAACGTCCTCTGGACAGTAGCCATTCACATGAGTCTCCTCCTGGAGGCACAGAGAACCAACCAGTGACACCAAAAAAAAAACTCACACTGCTCTGGTTTTCATTCATAGCTTGTCTCTGACTATGACTGAAACCTGCTGGTCTCAGTTGTACCCTGGCTTTTCATTCAGTGCTGCCAAATGACTGGGACACAATAAGGGCTCTGCTAGGGGCCACAGAACAAAAATGAACCTATCAGCAATTCAGCTCAACTATAAATCTCTCCCGCTATTCATTTGTACAGAAAATGAATAGAGCTATCTGCAACTGAGTCAATCCAAAGAAACAGGCGAATATGAAGGGTTGGATGGCTGGCAAAAGCCATTTTAGTGTCATTGCCAGCCATGCACCTGCTATCAGTGTGTAGACAGACAGGCCCTATCCGTTTTAATGAACAAAGTCCACAATATGGAAACCTTGTGGGAGGTGGTGTATGTCAAGCTAACATTTATTTATAGTATAACTCTGGGCTTTGTGCAAACACTGTCGTGGCCAGTCCAGGTACAAGCAAACCCACCTGAAGTGTCCAGGTCAGAATGTGTCTTAAAGAAATAGCACTCAAACAAACCTTTGCCCAACAACCTTATACAAACTCGGTAAAGACCTGACTGGAAGAACCAATGCTACAACACAAACTAGAGCTACACAGTTTGATCTTTGTTAGCCTTACTACAACACATTTCTGACAAAACTAATTTAAGAAACTAAGCTTCTTTCTTGAAATAAAAGAACAGCTATAGCTGGCGGTTTAAATGCCATTTTAACAGTAAACGCCCTGTTCTGTTAAAACACCAGCATACACACGGCTTCCCCAATAGTAATCACGCGTGTGCTGACAGGAGCATGTAAACACAGCTAGATGCAGTGTTAGCTTTATTCAGCTAGCTGGTGAGAAAAAGCAGACTGAAGTTCACGCTACTGCTGTTACTGAATGCTTTATGTAAAACCTACATTCTCTGCCCTTCACCTTTAACAACACCAGATAACGCACCATACCGATCCAGAGCAGTACTCACAGACACAAACAGCTAGCTAGCTAAAGTTAGCAATCGCTTCTGTCAAGTGTTTCACTGACTGTATCATTAGTTTAATAATAACAGAGACCACTTACCTCCATAATACCGCGACGCTGTGTGAAACACGAGGAGTGAAATAACGAGTGCTAGCGATATTAATTTGGCATTTTTAATGGTAAAATGTTGATTTATTATGCGTTTGCCTAGGCTATAGGCCAGGACCGCCATCTTTGCTCCTCCATGACAACAAGCAGCTGTGCAGTTTAGCAGCGCAGCTGTTCAGTTTAGCGGCGGCGGCGGCGCTCCTTCTGGTTCACCGCCTTCGCTAAGAGACACTGTCTCATTCTCCATCGCCGCTGGTCAAAACAGGTGACAAAGTAAAATTCAGGGGTCTCCCGTTTAAATTACTCCACCAAATTGTTCCATCAGATCACAGCCACTTTACTGGAATACTGGAGTACAAAGTTCAAGTGCCTTCAAAGTACTTCGAAAGAGAATCTCCACCTGTCACGTAGGTGTTACCGTTCTTCCAGGATGTTGACATTGTGGCGTGTCGCTGTATTTAATACTATAATTGTATTGTCTTTGCACTTCGATCACTGAATATACAATTGTATGCAATTCAGTGCAACACTTCCACCTTAACACACCTGTTTATGAAGCTCAAAATGTTTCAGTTTTTGATGATATTGTCATAGTACTTCGAAAGAGAATCTCCACCTGTAACGTAGGTGTCACCGGTCTTCCTGGATGTTGATGCTCTTACATTGTGCGTGTCGCTGTAATTTTAACACAATAGTTCTATTGTTTTTGCACTTCGATCACTGAATATACAATTGTATGCAATTCAGTGCAACACTTCCACCTTAACACACCTGTTTATGAAGCTCAAAATGTTTCAGTTTTTGATGATATTGTCATAAATGAGCTGGACACTGAGCTGATTTTTAGCCCACCAGACAAAGTGTAACAAAATTGTAATGTTGGAGAATACAATGTTATTTTGGTGAATTTTGCTAGTGCATTGTAATATGTGTTGAGAATGGTATTAATATATACTCTATACACGTTTTAAACCTGAACATATCAAAACGAAGTTGCAGATTTTGGTGTTTGTGCTAAGATTTACAGTTGATAATACACATTTAAACATACTAAAGAATGGGTAAGTATCCCTATGGAATCTCAGTACTGTTACGTTAAGTGGCCCCATAGAGAGGGGTACCAGCCACCCTAACCTAAAATACACATACAATGATTTTGTTGACACCATTACAGGGGACATTATTCTCCAACCCTAATCTATCATCATACCATGCACATATCAGAGCATTTTTTCCCACTCTGTCTTCATCAAATCTTCAAATGTACTAGGTATAAGTAAATTGAAAATATTTTTGTGGACATGTCTGGAATGTGTGATTACATACTGACTGTTGTTACATGTTTGAAATAATAAATAAATCAAATCAAATCAAATCAAATCTTCATCAAAGCAAACAGTAGACACCTTGTTTGGTGACTCATATAATTAGCATAGTACTTGCTCAGGTTTGGCTGGCCCAGCTGGCTCAGTAGGAAAACAAATTGGAGAGCCATGCCCGGTCAATTATCCAACCACTGACACTGTTCTACCTAGATTGTCAGTCAGAAGAATACTAAACCAGTAATGACCCTTCTGATTAAAAACTGTAATAGTGGACTACATTATCGTGGTGTTCCTAATATTCTGACCCTCTCATATTCAGAAATACAGACACCTCTAAATATAATGTAGTCCAGTACAACACCACCTTTAACTGTGACCTCAATAATAAAAATATGATTGAATTTATATATTTATGACAATTTCACCAAAAACCGAAACATTTTGAGCTTTGTAAACACAGATGTTAGGCAGAAGTGTTGCACTGGATTGCATACAATATGTAAAGGTGTAGCTAATAAAGTGGCTGGTCAGTGTACTAGCAATGCCAATAGAAATCTTGTTTGGTGTGAGAGTGAAGGCACTTCAACAGGGTCATCAGGATCAGGTGGGCACCCTCTAGCTAACTGGTGTTTCGCTGAGTTGGGCCTACAATACTGAGAAGGTTCAATGTGTTCCAGCATCCCAGAACAACTCCCCTCTTTGCCTACTCCAACACATGTAACACATTCTATTAAAATCTACTCTCAGACTGTTAACAAACAACAGCTATACCATCACAAACAAATCCAAGGAAACATTTCAAATGCTCTCCTAGCCAAACATTTCAAATAACCCACCAAATATTAACTAAGCTTTTGCAAACATTAGCCCAAGCAAACACTAGCTTGAGATGTTTAAGGTTTAGTGTAGTTTTCTAATTAATTTTTGTCCCTTGCTGGAATGGAAGGAGAGCTCCACTAAAGCATTGTACATATGTGTTAGAGTGTGTGTCAATATACAGTAGATGCAGTCTTGTCTGGCTACTAATAGGGGGTAATAAAAGTCATATAACCAACTGTGTTTACTGTGGATGAGTGAATGGTATAATGTTTCCCTAACTAAAGATATGGAAAACAGTACCTGGAGCCACATACTATTCCAGAAAAGAGTACTGGTTGACTCTGGGTCCTGGGCCTCGAATTAGAGAGGGCTCAACAAAAATACATTTTTGCTCCAGGGGCCACACAACATGTTAATCTCAGCATGCTATTGGGTATTTTAACCTGCAATATAATACATCATATTTTATTTACTTAAGTAAAAGACTTGAGTAAATATAATTTGTTACTTTTATACTTAACATGATTTCATAAATCATCAACATCAACAAAATGCAATTCTAGTTGTACCTGTATATTGTACAATCAAAAATACAGTGTGTTTGTAGTCTGATGTCTGTATCATTAAGAATCCAAGCAATATAGTTTTATGTGTAAAATATATTGTATACCCACAGATCCTGGACAGGCATCGTGTGTGCATGGCACCCAGTACTTTGCTGCTCAGTGGTCAAAGATAATGTGTTCATTTGACTGCCCCTAAGTTTAAATGTACTGCAAGTAAAGCAGGAGTGCTAATAAAAAATGTGAAACAGGGTGCCCTCTAGTGGTTATTATAGTGCTGCAGGTGACCTTTTATGTGTTGATGCCTTCAACTAAACCTGAAAAGAATGCCTTCTACGTGTGAAAGTTTAGTTCAGTCATAACTTTCACAAAGCCAACATGACCTAGTTTTCTCAACACACTAAACTTACACACATTATCTGACATTGGTCTGACAAAATAACAGGACAAGTCATTTCTGCAGAATGCAATGCTCCCATTTTAAATCTAATATCTGTATTCATGCATCACTGCAATTCAAGCCTTGATCCAAATCACACAAATTTATTTGGATGCGAAAGCTGTATTATGAAAGAAAAAACAACATGAGATGATGCATATTTACAAGAGACAATGCACGTTAGTAATCATACATTGGCATGGAAAGTGTAAACAAAAATTTACTGTACATTCAAATTGGATGTACTGTTGAAAGCAAGAAGGGGAAGGTAATTTATTGTAGGATATGCTGGTGCTTCCACAATAGGAAGATGTTTAATGATGATATGCAAATCATCATTTACTAGACTAGAACCAAAATACAGTGACACGCCTCCAATGGTGTCATTAAAACATGAAAGCACTTAAGTCACTGAGTAGTGTGTTTTGGAACATTGGACATGCTTTATTTCAGAACTTTTCACAATTTATTTAAACATCTCACATATACAAAATAGGTACAATAAACTTTGTGGTGTCAGTTTTTTTTTGAGAGAGAGAGAGAGGGCGCCTAAAAACCATTGAGAATAGGATGAAATATGTGCTGTCAGAATGAACACAGGCTGTGGGATAATGAGAGTTAAAAAAGCCTTAAAAAACAAACAAACAAACAAACAAACAAAAAAAAACCTTCTAGACAAACAAAACAAAATAAGAAATAAAACAAAGACCAGACATCAGGTTTGGGAACATTCCACCTGCTTAAAGTGAGAGAGTATCAGGGGACGAATGCAAGACTCCTCAAATGTCAATACAAAGTAATACAGTAAAAAAGTGGTTTTGCTCCACAGCTGCATATTAGCACCATAGATCTCTGCTTCAAGTAAATGAGCACCTTCCGATATGGGACAAAGCTTGAAGCATTAGAAGTCTTAACATCTCGGTTGTGGACCCAGGGTTTGTCTATAGTATTTTCTTTAGGTACAGGCATGAGGTAGTTTAAACCTTTTCATGGAAATTGTGGTTTTAAACCTCCTCTTTGGAAGATATACAAAGACCACAAAGTGATGCATACTTTCAGCGTTTTTATTACACTTCTTTTATTTTTTACAAAAGGATGACATGATGTCCCACAACAAGGTGTTTTCCCGCGTTCCTTTGGGTTGCTGTATTAATTTGCATTGCACAAACGCTCCATTCAGTCTGTTCAGTCCTCTCCGATAGTTGCCCATCTTAAGCAAGTGGATGTGCAGAGAGAGATCAGCATTCAGTATTAAAAAAAAACAACACAGAAAAAAGGGCAGAGATTTTGTTTTTTCGTTCTTTCTCTCTTGGTGGTGTTAATTTATCGTGAGTCTATTCATTTGAAACAGACTGGGCCAATGTCCAAACCAAGTTCCTGATCAGCTCCACCAATGTCCAAAGGTGCAATGTCGAGGATGGGCAGGCGAGATGGTTTATTTGTTCTGTACTCAATCACTGTCTTGCTCCACTCACCAGTGTGTCTCTGCAGGGATAGGTATGAAAGGAGAGAATTTCAGAATAGCATAATGTGTAAATCACACAGCTCTTAGACAGCTCTGTCTCATCACACCAAAACTGCTAACATTTTACAATTTATAAACACAATATGGAAAAATAAAACTGAAACAAATGTGGTAACATGGAAATGAAGCTAACTGAAGAAGCAAAGAACTACTTACAGTGCAGCCATCCTCCAGCACAGAGTAGGTGAAGCGGCTGTTGCCCTCGGCCCTCAGCTCTACATCATTGGAGCCCTGGAGCACCACAGCCTTCTTCAGGTTGCCGCTCTCACCGTCCATGTAGGCAATACTGTTCTTGCAGTGGTAAGTGATGTTCTGGCTGGCCTGGTTGGATAGCAGGCGCATGAATGCCAACTGGGTGGCCATGCTCTGGGGGCTGAGGGTCTCATCGTTGTAGGTAAACTGCCAGAAGGAAGGACCACCAGTCAACATGCTGCCTTGTCTACTCATACAATAACAGTGCAAGCAAACTGTGTGCAGTCCAATACAGATTTATTTCAAATTAAGCAATGCCTCCTCACCTCAGTACCACCGTTGATGGTCTCTCCAAACCAGACGTGCTTCTTGGCCTCAGTACTTCTGTACCAGTTCTTCTGGGCGATATTCTTAGGGTGGGCATAGATGCAGGTCTCGCGGGTGGTGAAGTCGCAGAAGGCCTTAATGGCATCATTGATGCAGCCCTGGTTGGGGTCAATCCAATAGAATCCTGCCATACAGGAAAGAGAGCAATTTACTCTTTTGGGGCCTTACTTGAACATAAAAGATCCATAAGACATCAAAACCTTGTTAAATGTTAGGATATATTATCCCCATGGTGCCATGCAGTTAAGCTTACCGCTGCTCCAGTCAGGGTGGCTGAGTTTGATGTCACGGCAAGTACGGGCAGGGTTCTTCCTGGATCCCTCAGGAGTAAGCAAGTTCTCAATCTGTGTGTTTAGTGACTTGATGGTGGCATCGACCTCATAGTCCTTGGCTCTCAGGGCGGGCTGATCAGCTCTGTACTCATCATATCCGGAGACATCATATCCACCACCAGCTGGGCCGGGAGGTCCGGGCAGACCGGGAGGTCCAGCAGGACCCTAACATAGACCAGAGAATGGATTTATATGCAGCTGTATTTTGATCTCTTGAAGATGCTTCTTCAATGTACAGTGGCATTAACTGTCCAGTTTACAAAATGAAATTGTGTTCAAACAGATGAAGACATTCTAATTGTGCTTACAATAGGTCCAACGTATCCAGGGGGACCACGAGCACCAGCGGCACCGATACTACCATGGGCACCAGCTCTGCCATCCTTACCAGAGGGTCCGTGGGGTCCAGCAGGTCCCTGATAAGGAGATCATCACATGACACATGTATGCATTTGGTGCTTTTTTAATCATCTAAAACAAAAATACAACACTGAATATTCAGAAATGTATAAATGTTCTGTACACTTCAGAAACATTGTCAGGTACATGAGATCTAAATGTGGTTTATCATATTGCAATGAATGTTCTTAAATACTTTAGCTGATATGGTAGCTACCCTACAGACCTAAAATATTTATGCTAATGTGTAAGTGTGAGAGTGGGGGCATGATGCCCCTATGGTACAAGTGGAAGAAGAAAAGCACTGATATATTTTAGTTATTTAAGTTTCCACTCACTCTGGGTCCAGCAGGTCCATGAGGTCCAGCAGATCCAGTGTCACCAGAGGGTCCCTGAGGTGAGAGAAAGCACATCATTGAATGTGAGTGTAGTCACAGCACTGATAAGACTTCCTGTGTGTGCACTGTTTACAGTACATTAAGGTGCTAATAAAACAGCCAACAAATTCTGAGTCTGAGTTTATGGTGTTAAAAATAACAGCATATATATATATACTGCTGTATGTTCACATTGCTTGTGTGCATCACAATGGTGTGCCATCACTCACAGAAGGTCCAGGGATTCCTTGGAGACCGGGATGTCCACGCAGACCCTTCAAGCCTCTTTCTCCCCTTTCTCCAGCAACTCCCTTCTCACCACGAGGTCCAGCAGGTCCCTATAATCACACAGTACAGAACATCATGTCACTTCAAAATAATACAATTTTTATCCTCAAGTTATGTGCTATGGATATGGACAGATATAATGAAATGGGCCTACTTTTAATTAGTCAGGTAACACTATTCTATGGGCTATTTTATGACCTTCCATGTATACTGTACTTACTGGGGCACCTCTAGCTCCAGCGGGGCCAACGGGTCCAGCAGGACCTCCTGGGCCCTGGGCACAAGAAAAGACAACAATAAAAAGATGAGTCAAGTCAGCCGGTGATTGTAGGTCAGCAATGTTAGGTACCCTAATGACGTAGTTTGTAAAAGGCAATTTCAGTAATGAAAATAAACTATCTTGCAGTCAGTCCATGTTAAACAGATTGGTGCATACAGGCTCTCCACGATTTCCAGGTCTGCCAGCAGCTCCAGTGGGTCCAGCAGGTCCGGGGGTACCAGCAAGACCCATGGCACCAGCTGGTCCAGGCTCACCACGGTCTCCCTAAACATAGTGGGAAAGAACACATGCAGATCAGATCATGGCACATGTGAGTGTATTTTGTATACAAGCATGCTATATGGAGTATTAAAGGGCATTACCTTGAATCCAGGAGTACCAGGACGGCCAGGAGGTCCATCGTTACCAGGGTTACCCTGTTGGTGGCAATATTACAGTTCACATAATAGTTTCTGTTATAACTTTATGTCAGGCTATTATGTCATTAGTAAGTGGCTTTCGGTAGGTATTACTGAGTTTTAACATAAATAATAATCTACTGGGCTATTTTGGTGCTCTTTCTTCAGCTGATCATAGGTTCCCATTCACAAGACACTGGACTACTAGTAATTGGCATGTTAAGTCCTTACCTCACGTCCAGCCTCTCCATGAGGTCCAGTCATACCAGGCAGGCCAATGTTGCCAGGGGGACCACGGGCTCCAGGAGGACCAGCAGGTCCAACTCTACCAGGCTCTCCCTGTTATAGAATACAGGGAAAAGGGTCAAATATAACCAAAGGCTTTATACTGTGTGTGATGCAGTATTTATGCAATAAATCTTTGACCTTCTAGTAGATCTTTTCTGTTCAATAAGTGACTAGGGGAATACACCATAGAAATTCAGATCTGGTTTGGACATTATATACTACAAGATTGTTGGGTCCGGGTTAGGTTTGGATGCCACACTTTCAGGCATGGGTCAGGTTTGGACAGAAATATGTGGCTCAATCTATGCTCTATGTCATAGTACAGGTGATTTATACCTACCAAACCACCAACACCACCAGGTGTACCACGATCTCCTCTAGCACCAGGCAGACCAACAAATCCCTGAAGTCCAATAGAACCACTGGTTCCAGGAGGACCAGGAGGACCCTAAACACACACAACACTTATCAGTGCATTGAGGATGGGGGGCTATAGGTCTGTAGGTGTACAATAGAGACATAAGCTCAGGTAGATTTTTGTGCTGCATCGTCTCACACAAATCGTATGTGTTAATTGGGAAAAACTAATAAACTAAAACTTACAGGGGCACCAGATTCTCCAGAGGGACCCTTATCTCCAGCTGGACCAGGTGGTCCTACAATACCCTGCTCTCCAGGAGGACCAGCAGGGCCAGAATCACCACGGGGACCACGAGGACCATCCTTACCACTGGGGCCAGCAGGACCAGGGGGTCCAGCAATACCCTGAGAGGGGAAGCGGCAGAGCATGAATTAATGTCAAATTTGAATGTGTGTTTGGTGCACAGTGATGGAAGGGTAGAATGTATGAGAATTAAGAAAACGGCAAAAGCTGTTGTTGTGTTTCATTATATCAGAAGCAGCAATAGAGTTTGCATGTGGGTGTGTTTTTAGGAATAATTGCAAATATACAACCAATACTCACAGCAGGACCAGCAGCACCAACTCTGCCAAGAGCACCAGGGAAACCAGTCAAACCCTGACATCAGAAACACACACAACCAAAGGTTATGCCATGAATGTGTGGTATCTGCATGTATCAGTGTGTGTGTGACCATCAGGCAAGACACATTTTTGCCTCATAGATGAAAAAAATAAATGAAAGAACAGAAAGTAGACAAAATGTCACATTTTGTCTACTTGAATTTCTGACATTACATAAAAGTGTCTGTTGATAACTTTGTGACGTTCCTAATTAAGTTTCATTATTACACATGTTCCTAAGATTTTTTATTTGAATTTCACATTGTTGCATGCTTGGTAAATTTCACTTGATATTACTGCAGAGTTAATGTTAAGAGGATTGTGTTAGTGTTGTGAGTAAATTAATACTCACAGGAGGACCAGTTTCTCCACGAGCACCAGTAGGTCCAGCAAGGCCAGAAGGACCCTAGATACACAGAAAAAAGAATCAGACACCATTCCATATCAGCAGTATTCATATCTCATCATAACAATCCTAAATTTTAACCCCCAGAGGTTTAAGACCATCTGAATGCAAAGCTAGTTATGACTTATGATATCTTCCCAATGCTACCTCTATATTGTTTGAATTCAATCAGCATTGAACCTTTCTGATAAATGAAACATATTCCAGCCATATTAGATCTGCACAGTGGTAAATATTACTATATGAATCCAGTGTAAATTGTACTAACAGCAGGTCCAGACTGTCCAGCGGGTCCAGCAGGGCCAGCGGGGCCAACTTCTCCCTTTACTCCACTAGGTCCACGCTCTCCTTTTGCTCCAGGCTGACCGTCAGCACCCTGTAGGGAGGAGAAAGAAAAGGGCAGGGTCATTATCTGGGCAACTGTGTGTGTATGTACAGTATTTGTGTGTTGACCACGACATCCTGCTGCTCAAACAACATCGGCATATATTGTACTGTCAGGTGATTGCATGCTATCTTACAGGGGGTCCAGCAAATCCAGGAGCTCCAGCAGGTCCAACTTCTCCACGTTCTCCCTGTGGACAACACATAGTCAGTCAGAAAGTCTGTTTATAATGTACAAAAAAACTGTATGTTGTGCTGAAGAACAGATTCTTACAGGGGCTCCACGGGGTCCAGCGGGACCAGCAGGTCCGAAGGCACCACTCTCACCCTGCAGGAGAGAAAAGTGAGTGTTTTTAGCACTGTTCCATCCATTAATTAATCAGTCCACCCATACATCCATAATTTCATACACATATTGAAATCTTTTTATCGCCAGTATACATTCTGTATTAACTTCTATATCTAGGCTAAATCAAGAATATAGAAAAATGTAACAAAAAAGGGTTTTACTGTGTTATTATAAAAATTAATTTTGGTAAATGTGAAAGCCAAATTAGCTAATATAAATAGACTTTCAAACCAAATTAGCCTATAGAAATGGTGATTCAAATGGAAATATTTTCAAGTCATTCCAAACTATTGTCACTGTTATTATCGTATACGGGGAGGTGACAGTGCGGTTGAAGGAAGGTTGAAGGTTCAAATCTCAGTGCCTGCAGTCACTGATGTGTGTTATTACCATCCCAGATTAAGCTGGTTGTGAACCATTGATGTAATATTATAAAAAAGCCATCAGGTGGCAGTGTTTAGGTTCTAGCTTCAGATACTATGCCACATTGGGGGCCACTGCAATTCCTGCTACATAGGAATGGGGGGGTACAAATGTATGGGACTGGCTCGATCAGCCAAGAGAAGATTTATGACATTGGGTTGATCTCAACAACACTTGTTAATGGTTTTTCTATTGTAAGTCACAGGTACAGGATTTATCTGCCTTCTGGAATAATATTGGTGGCAGCCAATATTAGGTCAAACCAAAGCTTCATTACATGAATTAATCTGTGTAACAGTGTACATCCTATATACATTCATTCTAATAGTTTCTGTTGTTAGTTGTTGTTTTGTGGTGAGTAATATCTATGCATTACCTTGTCACCATTAGCACCAGTGGGTCCAGGAGGTCCAGCTGGTCCAGGCGCACCCTAGAGAGCGGGAGGACAATAAGACCAAGGCTGTGGTTGCTATTCAAAGCACTGGAATGAAGTGACACAATTTTTTATATATCAGGTGCCTAAAGAAGGATTAGTTTAACTTACACGGGCACCATCTCTGCCAGCATTGCCATCAGGGCCTCTGTGTCCAGGCTCTCCCTATAGAGAGATAAGAATAGTATGGAAGGCAGGATGATAGAGAAGACAGACATACATTCTCATTAGCAAACCTGAATTATTTTGAGAGATAAACTCCTCTTTAATATGCAGCTGGAAGATTTTTTAAACTTACCTTCTCTCCCTTGGGTCCAGGAGTACCAGCTGCTCCACGCTCACCAGGCATGCCACCAGGTCCCTGGTGTCCAGGACCACCAGCAAGTCCAGCAGTGCCAGGCTCTCCCTGGAAACAGACAAGATGAACCATGGCTTTCTCTTTGCCATCAAACATAGACAAATGTATAAAAACACAGTCCTGGTGGTGGTGGTGGGGATGGAGGGGGGGTTGAACAGTTTATTGTTGGTTCTCTATGCAACATTTTACAGTGTACTCACTCTCTATGTTGAGGGATCTACTCAAACATTTGCTTATAACTTTACTTTACTTGATTATACCCATGGCATCATTTTACCTTGCCACCATCAGGTCCAGCGGGCCCAGCGGGTCCACGGGATCCCATTGGTCCCTGAGGTCCAGCAGCTCCTGCAGCACCAGAGTTACCACGCTCTCCCTGGAGGAACACAGAGAGGCAGTCAATATAATGTCTTCACCTATTATCAGCTTCTGTTTGGAAGAATGTGTTTATTTACACAGCTATACTTTTGAAGGTTTGGGCCTCTTACTGCTGAAAAATTGAAAACTCAGTGGGGTTACTGAAAAATAATGGGTCTTGATTCACTTTTTGCGACTAGACTCCGTAATTCTTCAGTTTGGAAATGTAATTTATCCTGAATAATGAATGAGGTCTGAGGGAGGCTATCTAAGTGTGTGAACTCAGAATAGCACTACATGTGTTCTGGAAAACAGAGGCATGGACAAGTGAACTTACCTTAGCACCAGCAGGTCCAGCAAGTCCCTGTTCTCCTGGGAGACCCTGTCAAGACATGAATAGTTGGTTAGACTGCTATTACTACAATTCCTGGTGACATGGTATGATGATATATCATGGTAGAAATTGGTGTTTTTTTGTGACTTGCTTACTCTGTCTCCAGGCTTGCCAGGCTCACCAGCAGGTCCAGCGGGACCAGGCAGACCCTGAAAATATAAAGCCTCTAGATTAGCACTGATTGAATCAACAGATAGAAGTAACGTTCCATAGGGAGCATGGAATTTGCTAACTTTTATATTTGGCTGTAAAAATGCTTCTGCTACTATGTTATTTCTTTGTTGTTGTTTTTTGCCTGAAGGGCAGTGACACAAGGTACTGTTTCCCTCCATAAAACTGCTCTGAATTGCTGATTTATATTAAGACAGATGATGGATCCAAACCTGGAAGCCAGGAGATCCAGCAGGTCCCGGCTCTCCCTTCTCACCTGGACCACCCTATTAGAGAAAGAGGGAAGACCACATGTGTTATGTAGTTGCCTGAAAAAGGGGAACTACCAGTGAATGAGGGCGATGCGAATGCTGTATACAATGATACTTACACTGGGTCCAGCGGCGCCAGCAGCTCCATTGTTGCCATCAGGTCCAGGGGCTCCCTAACAAAAAAGGAAGGAACATGATAATTCTAATAATACCTGACAATAAAAGAGTTCATGACAAGTAGCACAGGTTATGAAAAAAAAAAAAAAAAAATTGATATATTTCCGAAGTCTTTATTTCTACTTACAGATGGTCCTTTGGGTCCGGGAAAACCAATGTTTCCAGGCTGGCCTCTAGGTCCTGTTGGGCCGGGAGGTCCGGTGCGGCCATCTTGTCCAGAAGGACCCTGGAGGGAGAAACATGGAGTTCCACAGGAAGTGATTTACTGTATTCATTTGAACAAATATACCCATAAACATTACAGAATGAGACCAAATGAGATGGAAAAATATGTGTATGTTACAAAAAATTTACAAAAACATTTAGCAACAAATGTGTTTTAATGTGATGTTCAGGTTCACTTACAGCAGGTCCCTCCTTTCCTGGGGGTCCAGAGTTTCCAGGGCTTCCTGGGAGACCCTGTGGAGAATAAACACTTATCAGTCATTAAGCTACAGTATTTGTACTGCTGACATCTCAGGCTAACTGCCTTTCATCAAGGTCTTGGGTTTAATTGTTTACACACGTTAAATTCACATCAAACAATAGCTACATCTATTACAGCACTACTACGCATTACTTTGACACAGGCCTCTCCTCCTTTTGAGGTGTCTCTGTGATTTACAGGACTCAGACAATTTATACAGAGATCAGATACCTGTCACTGTTCAAAAACAAAATTTAGCAAAAGACTCACCCTGAGACCAGCTGGGCCAGCCTCACCAGCACGACCAGCATCTCCAGGGGGTCCACGAGGTCCAGCTGTACCAGTTGAACCACGGGCACCAGGCATACCCTATGAAACAGAGACAAAATGGTGGAAGGATGAAGTGTACAACTTTTTTGTTTTGTTTTTTCATCAGTGTAATCAAAAACACATTTGAGCTACAGCATGTGCCACTAATTTACTGAACACTTACAATGGGGCCAGTTCTTCCCTCAGCACCAGGCAGGCCACGGCTGCCAGGAGCGCCCTACAGAAGACACAAAGTCATTAACAGGTGATCCAGCTAACAGGACTATAGGTGTGGATCTGTATGGGTACAACACAACCTGTCAGAAAAGGTGATCTGGTCTGGTACTCACTCTAGCTCCACGGGCACCAGCAGGGCCAGTGGCACCAAGCTCACCAGTGGGTCCTCTCTTGCCTTCCTCACCCTGAGGTCCGGGGGCTCCCTGAGGTCCAGAGTTGCCCTGAGGAAGACAAAAGAGAAGATGAAGGCAAGGTCAGCTGTCAGGGGACAGTGTACACTAAAGTCAGTCTGGTGAAAGTTTAAATTAGTGAACATAAAGAGTATCTGAACTTACAGGCTCTCCTTTGGGACCGGTGTCTCCCTTGACACCCTGAACACCAGGATCTCCCTAAAACAGATGCAAATAAATAGATGCAATTAAAATAAGTCATCTGTATACAATGAACGTGAGTATTTCAATGTGTCTTCATATGAGGATAAATGCATTGCATGTACATCTACATGCCTCTAAGTGGATATGTATATTTTTATGGATGTTTGTGTAAATGTGTACTCACAGACAGGCCTCTAGGTCCAGCAGCACCCTGAGGGCCCTGGGGTCCGGGTCCTCCTCTTGGTCCGGGGAAGCCAGGACCGCCAGCAATACCAGCGGCGCCCTAAATGATGGACAGGTGAGCATCACTTAAGTAGCAGCTTAACCTGAGACATCATATTATCATGATATACCTTTAAATAATAGAAATAGATACAACAAGAAAAATAAATGTTCAGAGAAAAAATAAATCATGTTTTATGGTTGAAATGACTTCATTATTTATGTGCTGTGTGTGCAGCACTATAGAGGCCTGATTGTCATAACTTGTGTGGCCCTAGAGTGACTTCTAGTACACTGTAATTTAAGTACTTACAGCAGCTCCCTTGGCTCCATTCAGACCATTGGCACCAGGGTTACCCTATGGAAAACAAGAAATTATGGATTCTTTTTAACAAAAAGACTGAAAACCTATTGCAGTTTTACTTTTTTTAAGACCACAAGTGTACAAAAAGAATCACTATTTGAAGCCAACTGGATCTTTTCTAAAACTTCAGCTTCTAAAACTATTACAATATGGAATATGTAATAATATCACATATCACATTAAAACTAAATAACACTATATACTATGGCAAGGATTGTCTATACAGTAGATATCTATTATGAACTAAATGGTCATATGCATGGATGGCAATGGCAAAGTTTTCAAGTGCATGCAAACTATCTGTACCATAATAATATTGATGTTGACGATACACAGAAAAATATTGATACTTTCTAACCAGTCAGACTAAGAGGCATGTTTTTGCTAATTATTATTAAAGGGCAGGTTACAAGACTGGGATACTTACAGGGGGACCAACGGGGCCAACAGCACCATTTGAACCAGGCTCTCCTCTAGCTCCCTGAGGTCCAGCTGGGCCAGAAGGTCCAGCAGGTCCAATCTCTCCCTGTTAAAGACAAAATCAAATAATGTATCAATATTACCCTGTTGTTATTGGTGTTAAAATCAAAGTAACACAGGGAAATAAAATATTAACATATTTAAATAAGTTGTTGTTGTTGTTGTTGCCTTAAAGTATTAAAGTAGTCAAATGAAACTTTGGATGTGAGAAGTTGATACATAAATGGTTTTAATGAGAAAACTAACATTTGAGAGTCAAGTTTGATTTATGGTTCTGTGTTAAATCTACACAAAGCCTACGCTGTAGGCTACATGAGCATCTATACTGGTGCCTGGTGTGACTGCCTCACTTGACAATTACACCACCGAAACGCTGGTTCTATGCCAGTGTTGTTTTTTTGCCACTTACAAACAATGGGGACTGAAACTGAATGGACCATGTTGGAGTTAAAACTAATAGATGTTGAGCAGCAGTTACTTTTACTAAATTTCCTGCAATGCAGATAAGAGAGAAGACATGGGAGGAGAGGGTTTGTACAACCCCTGAACCTATGGAGGGGGGTTTTCCATGCTTGTCTGGCCACTGACAGACATGAATGAAGAAATGCGATGTAACCAATCACAGCTATTGATTTCTGCATCACCACAACATGTAGTTACATTTCTGTAGAGGTGCATGTCAGGCTACAGTGTAGAGGATGAGGCTACATGCTACCTATGCTGCACCTACAGCGTAAAACCATAAATCGAGCTTTATTGGAGCTGTTACAATGTGTATATGAGCAATTCCCTTGGGGATACTGTGTAAGAATATATTTGGATGGTAAGGAATGACAGTGCTAGTGCATCAAACAGGTTTAAAGTAAAAGGCATTACATGTTTCTGAAAGATGCTTAAACTGCATGTTAATAAGGTTTGTCTCATTTTGTGATCCTAAACATGAACCTCGTTGGGAGGTTAATGGCGTGTACAGGAGATGCAACAGGGAGTGGCATCACACCCACCTTGGGGCCGGGGCCACCGGGGAAGCCTGGGGGACCAGCAGCACCAACAGGACCCTGGGTAGAGGAACAGTAGACATGACATCAGGATATATGCCACAGAGATCAAAGTTCACATTAAGGTCAAGGGTAATTTGTCTAACATGAATGTCAGTACCTAGTCAAATTCAGTGACATAGCTGCACATATGTCTGATGCTGAATGTTATATTACACATGATTTATACATTAAAAAACAAAAACAATTGTGGTACACATTTTGGATTGATGAGACTTACATCTTGAGTTCAATATTTACAATGGAGAGTGAATTACTATATAACTAAAGGTTTAAAAGGCCAGTACTCACAGCAGGGCCAGCGGGTCCAACATTGCCATCAGCGCCACGAGCACCAGCAGGGCCAGCAGGGCCAGGGCGACCTCTCTCACCAGACAGACCACGAGCTCCCTGAAGGAACAGAAAACAAGAGCAATGAGAAAAATATATTTTCTGCAAATGGCAAATGGCTCATTTTGTAAGTAAAAAAAAGTTTTAAAAACACATCTAACATGTCTATGATAACTTAACCATAATAAAAGTACTGTATATCATGCATTTGTGTACCATATTCCCATCATTTAACAATGACTGGTGATGTTGATAATTGGTTGAAAGTAATAAGAATGTTAGTCAGATGGGCTACCATTATGGATATTGTGTGTAAATGGTGAGTTTGATTGATCAAAAGCTTACAGCCAGTCCAGGGCTTCCAGCAGCTCCATGGGCACCATTCTCACCCTAGAGGAGAGGCAGGAGAGGGTGGATTAAGGTGAGAAGGTAAATGGAGTGAGGTGGCTCAGTGTAATACATGTAGAGTAATAGGTCAGCGGAGAGGTTGAGTAGCAATTCAAGTACTGGTGATATTAAACTGATTTCTGGTTTGTTTCTCCTTACATTTTTCCTAAATACATGTATCTTTGCAGAAACTACAGGACATTAGTGTTCTCTTGGGAGGTTCTCAAAGTCTTCTTCATTAAGAGCTCATCAACTAAATACCCATAATTTTTTATGAATACACTGGCATCAACAATTAATACAGGACTAAGAAAAACTGGGCACTCAATAGGAACTTCTGATGTGGCAGTCATGATCTTCTTACCTTGGGGCCAGTGGAACCAGGCTCTCCCTTGCGCCCATCCAGACCACTATAACCCTAAAACACAGAAAGAACGTGAAGAATGAAGATGTTTCTAAAGCTTAGGCCTACCAGATATCACATAAATGCCAGTAGAATAAAAATGGTGGTGCATTATTCCAGAAATGAAGCGAGAAAATTAAGAGATGTGGATCAGCTTTAGCCAATCCAGGTTCTGAAGGGAATTAGTATGTGAATAAACAATTCATATGATTGTTTGATTTACCTATTCTTATAGGAGAGGAGACATCCAAAACCTCATATGAGAAATTGCTTTCATATAATAAAAGCATATCTATCATCAAAGGTGGTTTCAAAAAGAGGTTCTCATCCAGCTCTTGTTTACATGGAAGACACCATGAAGTGATTTCAAAGATGTCAGGCAATTTTTCATTTTACATAAGAACTGCTCATGCAAAACAAGGACTAAAAAATCTTCAGCCATTAGGAAATTTTGTTGGCTTGTTAAGAGACAGGAAGAAGGATGTTAGGTCCATAATCCCTCCCAGCAGTGCTGATTATGGGGCATAGTTCCCCGAAACACTTGAGTCAGTTTTTACACAGCACAAGCGTGTCTCTTCCTCCATTTTATTCAGCCTTGGGACAGATTTCAAGCCAGTAGGACTCAGGTGAGCAGGACTGAGAAGGTAAAATTAAGGTCAAGCACAGAAAAAAGATCAACACTCACTCTGTGTCCCTTCATTCCTGGAAGTCCAGGGGTTCCGGGGAAACCACGAGCACCCTGCAATTTGCAATAAAGAGAATATTACTAAGACAGATTCCATATATACTAATGCCTGTTCGTATCTGTTTGTGCTATGTGTTTGTCTTTATGTTTTGGTGAAAGCCTCTTACCTGAGGGCCAGGGACACCTCTGTCTCCGGGCTTGCCAGGTCTACCGCTGTTACCCTGTGAGGCAACAAAACAGATTTTACCATTTGACATTTAAGCAACATGAAACTATAGAAACAGCTCAGAGAAATCCCATGAAAGTAGGGAGAAACTTATGGACAAAGGCAGCCCTTGAAAACTGCTTGTAGAAACTCAAAAGTGTTCATACATCATCTCCAGCTTTGCCAGGGGGTCCAGGGGGGCCACGAGGACCAACGGCACCCTTGGGAAAGAAAAGCATAGCATTAAGATCACTATGTTCAAGATGACATCACCTGAGTAAGTCTGAGTAAGTGATCCCAAATCACTCCAGCTCTATTGACACAATAAACTAAAGAATCTTGAATATAAAATATAGGTGAATATTTTGGAGGATTATCTTACAGACTGTCCAGGCTCTCCAGGCTCACCAGCATGTCCGGTGTGTCCCTGAGGTCCCTGTTGAATGAGAGGAGGCACAGCACAGCCACGATATAAGGAGTATAACACATGTAAGAGTTGACTGTTATTTTGAAGTTGGTCAAGTTTGATCAAATCACTCTATAAGTAAAATTTTGTTTGCACTTACAGGGGGTCCAGGAGGTCCAGCAGGGCCTCTAGGTCCCATCATACCCTGAAAAGGATCAATTCACAGTAAATTAAGTTATTATAAATCACTTTGTCATGACCATTAGTGAAACTGTATCAGCATTGGTATTAAAATTCAAACATGAAATACATGAAACTTATCATGGACTATAATTATTAATTTGTAGGTAAGCATGCAAAGGCATATACAGAATAAACTGTACTGATAAGCATGGATCAGTGTGGCTGTCTAGAAATGTGTGCTGTAGTGTTGAGTGTGAGAGGGGTCATCACCATGGGTCCAGGGCCAGGATCAGGAGCTTTTACGCCATCATACTGAGCAGCAAAGTTCTATTGAAATTCAAAAAAAGCCACACATTAATTACATAAATATATTAAATATTATTTTTATATTATCAGGACTATTAGACAAAAAAGCATTCAGCCAGTTCAAATAACTAGCCAACAGTGGTCACTGTAGTTCCAGTAGCCCAAACCTCTCAACTGATTTATTTTTCAAAGTGATTTATACACTGCAGGCATCATACATTTTCAGGGTCTATAGACTTAGACATAAATGGTAACACTCGTGACCTAGCATTATGCATGCTTTATCTTTTACACAGGCCTTGGGGTCATGGGTAAAGGAGGAAAGGTCAAAGGTCACAAGCTTTCTATACATTATTATCAAGGCATTGAGGTCAACAGAATAAAAAAATAAATAAATCTGTCCTCACTGTATGGAATGTGCGTCAGAATCAGTAACATTTTGATGCTTGTCCTGCACGGTTTGCATCATATTAAAAGTCATATGGAAGTCCAATTAAGCCAATAATGCATTATCAAAGTTTTTGGACCACCTTTGCAATAAACTCTGTTAATCCAGGCTGGTTATTTTGTGATTGTAAACAGTGTACTTACTCCTCCGAGTCCAGGGGGACCAGGAGGGCCAGCGGGTCCAGGGAGTCCGGGTTTTCCATCTCTTCCATTTGGGCCAGGAAGACCCTATAAAACAAAGATGAGATCATGAGTAAACCTGGTGATTTCAGAAACTGCTGCAACTAAGTGACTTCTGTGAATTTTGCAGGAGCTGGAAGACTAAATTCCTGTGATTCTCAGTTTTGATTTCATAAATGAATGGATACGTAAATAAAGCTTAAGCACTGTTGTAGCAAACTGTGTTATTATAAATATTTTCAGCAGTAACGGTGAACTAATATTACTGTAAAAATCCAACTGGCAACAAAATAAGAGAGTTCAATTTACATAGCACCTATCATATCTGTTTGCATTATTATTCTCTAAACACTGGGCCTATGGGTGATGTAAACAAAGGGGTGTGGCCAGATGAGGTGAGAAGGTCAAATGACTACAACAAACACTGTGCCAAAGATGCAAATGATGTAAATATACGTAATCAAATACTTCTAAAAATATTTGGACTCGCTCATTAGATCCGAGGCAGCAGAGTCTCAGTTCAGCTTACCCTGTCACCTCGAGGTCCTTTGTCTCCTCTGGGGCCCTGCGGCAGAGAAATTACTCGATCAAACCAAAACACAGAGCAGATGGCTCAGCTTATTGCTTTAATCACATTTTAACCACACTAAACTATTTTGTTAGCAAATCAGGCCAGTGTTATATGAACTAAACTAAATATACTGAGACTATAAGCAAATCAAAAACCAGACTTATTGCATTCAGATGCTCTATGTTAATATCAATAAATGCATATGGAATTGAACTTGACTTTCCAGTGCAAGAACAAGCATCTTAAAATACATTTCACAGCCATCTGATCTCTCAGTCTAAGCTGTGCTTCATGTGTCTGATATGCAACAGTCCAAGTGATAAATGACACATGGCTACCTTGACTCTCCCCTTAATAGAAAAGAAGATAAATAAATGTAAGATTTATTTATTCAGTCTTTTCAGGGTTTATCAGGTCATTTAACGTGTAGGCTATATCAAAGATTACGTTCATTAGCTCTGCATAAGCATAATGATAAGTAGTCACTGTAAAAAAAAAACAAAAAACATGCAAACATCCTCCAATACCATTGCAAAGGACACATAAAACATGCAGCTGCAGGAATTAAAATGAAAACACACTAGAGTAAAGTGCATGTGAGATAAATTATCAACCTAAGCACAAAGGTGCTTAATGGAGCAATATAATGAAGCCTCTCAAACAGACTCAGCAATCTCTGAGAAGCACGAGCTTATTATTCCATGGAACAATAAATGTTCGGAAATTTTTCCAGAACCACACTGCACCTTTAAAATGTTAAAATGCTGCTGCTGAAGCTGCAGGCATCATGTTGATAGGTTTTTAATTCTAGACAATCTCAAAAATGAGCAGGATCATTTCAACAAACAAGTTTTTAGTAAGAGGGGGCTCAGTTTCATTAATTCATGAATTTAGTTTTTTTTTTTGTTTGTTTGTTTTATGTGAACCAAACATTTCAAATGTTTATAACTGGTTCCTGAACAAGGAGCAGAGGAAGGGCTCACAGTGACACTGCAGTTAGGGGCAAACCTCCCTCTGCCCCCGCTCTGCTGTCCTCAGAAAAGATCCTTTGTACCAGGCCCAACGGGTGCCTCAGCATGAGGGGTTTTAGCTTTCACTGACACAAACTTTAGCCAATAGGACCCTCACCTATGCATGGACAGGAAGGGAGAAAACTGCAGGAAATATCTTTGGTTCAGGGGTAGAAGTTCCTAAATAAAACTCTCCGCAATCGAGATTGCTCAGTCAAGAACAACACAGATGTCCGGGTTTATGTGGCAAAAGGCAAAGTGACAAGGTAAAGCTAACTTTAAGATATCTTGCTTTTGTTGTTGCATGCATGTGTACTAACCGAGTCTGTGACGTTGAAGAGAGGAAGAAGAAGAACAGAGAGAAAAGCAAGGGTGGGGGGAGAAAAGGGAATAATCTGTTAGAACATCTTAAGCAGTTTTGGAGCAAAACAGTCACCTGAAAAAGAAACAAGGTCATTTTCATCCATCTAAGTACTTGTCTGATTGTGTTAACTTCTTGCTACAGGCCAGGAGAAAGTATAGTTTGCTCCTCTGCATGAGAGAAAAAGTGTGGACACTGGACATTATGCAGAATTGCCTTCATTTAAAAAAATTCAAAACACACAATAAACATGTTAAAGTGCGACAATCTCATGTACCAAGAAAACTGTAACTCAGAGAACATGCGGTGTGACTAGAAATCTGGGCCTTTTTTGGTTTTCTGTGGGCCTCACACTTCATCCAGGGCAGAAACGCTATGTGAGAGTTTGGGACTTTGAGAACACAAGTACATTTATCTCCTGTATCTGGAAATGTTAACACGTCCTTGTCTATCACAGTCTAACTCTGTAGTGAATGTGAACCTTAATGTTCAATCAGTGGCATGCCAGATATTGAGGCTCTGGCTGCTAGCAGGCCTGAACAGGCAGTTTATGCCCCTGGGACAAGAATAGTTGGCCTGCTACTGCAAACGTGATAAGAACTACAGCGCTTGTAATGGTGAATGAATGAATAACACTGGTTACAGATGTTACATCACTTATGCTCTAACATTATTAAAAGTTGCCTTTTGTGACAGGGCTGTGGGAAAAGGGTACATTTTAACCCAACTGAACTTACTGGCTCTATTAAGAATTGTTAAATAGCTTCCATTATGATCATCTGATGACTGGATCATTCATTTGTGGTTGATGTTGCCATTTTTCATCTACACCTTGTTGCAGGTGGAGCTCAGCTGCCCTCACTGAATGTAAACCAGCTAGTCATGGTTGACTATGGCACAGCTGGGACGTCCCCATGAAGCCTAAAACGTCATGTCCAATCTGGACCACAAGGCGGCGCACCTGGATGTTCAAAGTGATGTGAGGCTATTTATTTCCCTAGTTGATGTGCTATAGTAATGAACAAGCTGCCAAGAAGCTTCAACTTACATGCAAATCTTGTAGTCTTATCTTTAAACTGTTCTGTGATTCTGTGATTTTAATGATGTTAAACTATACAAGCATTACCTGTAGATAAAGTCAAAGATGAAGTCACTTAGTTTAAAATATATATTAAATACTCAAATATTTTCTAGTTTACTGCCATTTCTACTTTAGCTCTGACAAACAGCTCAGGGTCTTGATGGGGGATAAATTTGATGCCAAGTAGATGTTTGCACTCATGGCCACCAGGGGGAGACAACGCAGTGCCTTCTAATAAAGCTTAACTCCCTGGACGTCTGGATGGAACAATGTGTACAACGCCCCAAAAAAGTTTTTCATCCTATGTCTAAAAAGAAATCCACAATTAGCCTATTTTCAAAACTCGCTAAGGACACTAAGGCGTCTACTTAAACGTCTCTTTCAGAGCAACATAACTTTTTTTCAGCAGTGTAACTTCTCCCTTTAGAAACTAATGGAATGATAATAATTGTATCCTTGAGGAGTTGGGCGGGGGGGACAAGTGAAGAATCCTCTGTACGAGCTCAGTCCGATGAGCTTAATTCAGCAGTGCTCTGAGCTGTCTTCAGGTTGACTTTGATGTAAGTCCCAAACAAAAGCCAAGCGCAAGATCCTCAAGCAGTGGGACTCGAAAAAGCATATCCATCACAGAAAAAGAGCAGATAATCAAACTTACATTGACATGATGCTAGGTATGAAGTTACTGCAAGCAGCAACAGAATCCGAGTATCCACAAAGCTGAGCATGTCTAAGCAGACATGCAGACTCCTTGTGCTGCTGAGCCCCTGTTTTTAAACCACCTTCAAGCAGGCATACAGTTGTGGTGACGCGAGTAACTCCAAACTTAGCAGAAACCTGCTGCCGTGATGCTAGAATAATAAAGTTCTATCAGGCCTATTTATACGGCAGGAGGGTCCCTGGTCTGCGTGTCAAAAGTCAGCCCACCGGCCAATGAGAGAGGAGAAACCCAATCTGACTTCCATCCCTCTGCAGCTCAGAGTCGGTCATGTGGTCCTGCATCTCCCAGCCTCCTCTCCACCAGAAACCGTTTGGCAAAGCGTTGACTTTGATGACGAGTGCAACGTTTTAATTAGGTCCATTCTTTTTGAGGACGTGGACAGCGTCGAGGTTTAAAAGGGAGAAGAAGGCCTAAGATTTTTCCCTCTTTTACAAGCTGCAGCGAATCTGGAGTGTCAGCAGGCGTCTGGTGTTAAACCTTGCGCGCAGTTTAGGTTTGTGCGTAAAAAATGCCCCGGTTAGAGCGCATCGATCGGCATTAATTGGCATAAGGATCATCTGAGCCTTCTCATGCTTTGGATTTAATAGGCAAAATAACCTTAAGATAATTTAGAATCATGTACTGAATTGTTGTTGATCTCTTATTGTATTTGAATTTAAATTGATTTATTTTATGCCATTTTTACGCGCAGATTTACTGAAAAAAAAAAAACAAGAAGAGAACCCAACCTTATTTTTCATTTTTGTGAGATATTCTAAGGGCATTCTGGTTTGTATAGTATTTCAGTTTATTTCCATACAAGTGCAGACCATATGCACCACGTATGGCCTCAACAGTCTCCAATGATTTAAAGAGTTTGTAGAAATAAACCGATCTGAAACAGTTCAAAACATTTCCGATTTGTCTTAAAGGTTTGTTGATTTTGAACCAACAAAAAGCACTTAAGTCTTAACCCAGCAAAATCTTATCGCTGGAATTGCAGCCGCTTACATACAAGGCTTAAATACTGCTGGAGCTTCCCACTGACAAAAGCCAGGTGAGAAGTGTAAAGATCCAGCTTCAACTCACGGTCACCACCCCGTGCCCCGCATCTCCTACCTGCCCACATGACCAGACATGTCATACTACCACTCCAGCAGCACTCACTCACTTGGTCCTGCTGTATATTACACACCTATTGTCCATTCCAGTGAGAAAAACACAGAGCATAAACACAATCCTATAAGCATTTTATAGAGAAATGCAGTGATGCACTCTATATTTAAACACTTGCCATATTTTTATATATATTTTTTATTAATAGAGAACATCTATTGTTGATGGAACAAAGTAAGAAATGTGTTGTTGCACAGCATGAGCAGGCCTGTGTCCTATAGCACATATAGGAAAAGTTTCAGGACTACAACAGTGCAGAAAATTCATGTTTTTAGTTAAGTTTGTTGATAAATATCCAAATCAAATACAATTTTGTGACTTATAAAACAAACTTCCTGCACCGTCTTTTAAATAAGAAAAATGCTTGTGATCCTTCATTGCAACTTAAATCACTGAGATGTACCTATACTCCAATAGATGTGCTTAAATAACATTAAATATGTAAAGGACTGAATCTGACAAGCAAGCTGGTGTAGGGGGAATGGACAATCATTTAAATGCCCCCACTTTATACTCTATATAACTACATGCATTTACTGCAGATACATTTCTCTTACAGTTTACTGATATGCACCAAATAGCTGCTCAACTCTTCCTCTCCTGTTCAATGTTCCCTTTCATCATTCATTGTTGGACACTCCCTATAACTTCACCTCAACTCTTCCCTGAGTAAAACTAGAGAGAAGAAAAGAAGAAGAAGAAGAGGAGGAGGAGGAGGGGCAAATGAGATGAAATGTGTTTTAAAGATGGCAGAGCTCCCACTCACTGCAAAGTTACACTCTCATGTTTGCTGAGGAGACCAGAGCAGCGGTGTAGGAAATCAAAGATGGCTGCAAAGCTCCACATCATCAGACTTTTAGCTCCTGATTCAACTGTGTTTCACATGAAACAGTCAGTTATGTTTTTTCCAGTGACTAGTTGATCTTTGGAAACATTCAAAAACATGATTAATGTTTAAAACATTTATTAAAAAATTATAAAGTATGAAAAGAATTGGCTGGGAAGCAGATGAAAAAAACCTCAATTTTAACTTGACTTTAAAGGTCAGCAGTGGTTATTGTTGCTGCACTAGTTCCTTGCAACATCACTGTTGAAAGACTCAACAACTACTGCAAGTCTTAAGCCATTCAAACTTAATACAGTGGACACCTAGGAAACTATTGCAAATGGATCTAGCAGAAGTAACCCAGTCACAGTCCAACAACTTTTGAACAGAGTCAAAGGACCAAAGGAATGCTTTTAATTCTCTTTGTTCATGGTTTTATTCAAGAAATAAACTGTTTTCAGGGACAAAGAGTAAACGAGAGGGCAACAGTGTGAAACTAAACCAAATTATTGTTAAAGGTTTTCTGCTATTTTGAATCTAACATCTTGCTTTTTTCATCTGCTGTCTCCCATAGTACTGCCAGCTGGGCCTGCAGACAAATTCTTCCAGATGTGCTGGGCTCTGATTGGCTGCCTATGTTGCTTCCTCACTGACCTCAGTCACTGAGTCTCATATTACCTTTCTGATGCAGAAGGATTGTAGGTATAGTGAATCTTCTCATGTCAGAGGTGTCTGGTAAGAATGGAGTAGACAACTAGTCAGACTGGAGGAAATCAGATCAGATCAACTGATATATGTAACTGTATTACTATTGCATCCTTGATGGCAAAATGCCAGCATATTAGCTGATGTTATTATGTCATATTGTGGCTATGAATTGCCAGGTAGATGTTAATACTTCAGCTGAAGTGATATGACACATAAAAAACACTGACTGGATATAAGCATCTTGGATTGTAACACATTAATGTACAATATGCAAATGTTCTGAGTGGGATTATCATATAATTATCATATATATATAATCTCAAATATAAAACATATCATAGTGAAAGCTCAGTTTATCTTGCCATTTTAAATGTCCATAATATCAAAGCTCAGATAAATGTTCCACATGATGGTACTATTTGTGGTAATATTCTTGATTCACTTTTGCTATGGTTGTTATGTGAGTCTCACTGTCATTGGCATCTTGGAATGAACTCTTGTGAATGCTTTGCACAAAACAACCCAGCTTTATAAAATTTTTAATAAGGCCACCATAAGCTTCCAGGTCAGCCCTCCTTGATATAGATTTTATGTCTTTGAAACTATTATTTGAAAGAATATTCCTTAAATTCCTTCATTTAAAGCTAATTTCCTTTAACTTTGCTGGGTGTTTCATGCATGTTTTCAGCGTGACCCCAAGCAATCATGCACCCGCTTTTGTGGATGTTAAAACGTGTTTCTAAGGTAAAACTAAGTGACAAGTTTAGTTATGCAACCCACACACACAGACACTAGCAACTGTCTGTAGAGGAGGATGAGCGCTGGACAGAGTTAGTGATTAAAGAGGAGGAGCACACACACATACACATCTATGCTCTTTTAACTGAGTAAAGTAAAGAGAGAAAAAGATTTTAAATGGTTGAAGGAAGCAGAGAATGATGCAGAAAAAGGTTCAGATACACTGCCCTCTGTGACACTCGCACACACACACACACACACACAGAGGCACTAATTAAACAGGGCACTGTGCAGACACGTGCAGAGGCAGCAGACATTTGCAGGAGTGGTTGAGGTTTTCAAATTGCAGCCTATATTCCAGCTGGTTTCTTCTCTTTCTTTGCTCTGAAAACTGGTGCTCCCTCTCCCTGCTCCACTGTGCTCTACTTTGATCTGCTACACTCCTCCACGCTCTGCCCAGCTCTTCAGATATTTTGTCATGAAATTACAAGAAATAAGAATGCAACAGTGAAGAATGCTTTATTTTATATCTGCTATTTCCTAATAGTTTCTTGCAAATAACTATGTAGTTTGGTAGGAATTACAGAAGAAGAAGTTCTAAAACTGATTTATATTTATTCATTTTCTACCGTTTGGCCACAAGGGGGTCGCCCAGAGCCAAGCCCGGCCGGCAATCAGGCACAGGCGGCGTACACCCTGGACAGGTCGCCAATGCATCGCAGGGCTAACACATAGACGAACAAAGACACACACGCACTCCTATGGGCAATTTTAGAGACACCAATCAACCTAAGCTGCATGTCTTTGGTCAGTGGGAGGAAGCCAGAGTACCCGGAGAGAACCCACGCAAGCACGGGGAGAACATGCAAACTCCACACAGAAAGGTCCCAGGTGGGGCCCGAACCTTCTCGCTGTGAGCCACTGTGCTGCCCTGCTAGTTAGCATTTAGTAATAAATAGTGTACCAAATGATCACTCTTTAATGGTACCTGTAATTAGTACCAAATTATATAGTTCCTTTCAGAAAATGTCTTAGGAAGTTATTTGGAAATAAACTGGAATTTACAGACCTGTAAAATAAATTGTGACCACAATCTCTGATTGGTTAGAGAGGCCAATCCTGCTCAAAACCTTTTAGAAGCTGATATCTCTGCACCGCTGCCAGTGCTGTTCAATGAATCTGGGTTACAGGGGGCCTCGGCTGCACCTCTCCACATTAAGACACGCTTTGGAGCAGATTTGAAAAAAGTTAAATACTGCAGCTTTAATAGTAATTTTTAAGTTCAGAATTATCAGTGGCTTTCTAGCATCCTGGTACCAAATACTGTAGCTTGACCGTGTTTTCACAGGGCTCTGGGCCATCAGATGTTGATTTCTAGTGAACAAATTGTATTTTGTCAGTCTGACTGTGAAACAACATGACAGTAGCTGCTAGCTTAGCACAAATATACATTAGGAAACAGAGGGAGAAGAGTTAGCCTGGCTACGTGCAAAGGTAACAAAAAGTAACTAAAGACAGGCAGGGCTTTGTAAGGAACACTCATTTACTTTAAGTGCTTCAAATTATACAACACCCCAGCCACGTTTGTGATGTGTGAGTATGGAAAGCCTCTTTCACTCATTTCAGTCCTTCTGAATTTCCTGTTTTCCCTCCTCCCCTTATATTATTTCAGGTTCTCCCTCTGCCTTCGTCAACATCTCTTCATTGTTGTGCCTCTTCCTCCTTATCTGTCGTCACTGCCACAGATTACCACATCTTACCACATCAGGCTGGTTCTGCTGGAATATATTGTTGAGCTTTTAGACCTTAGGGAGGCAGGGTTATTGATCAATTCGTGGTCTGGGACTGCGTGCAAGGACAGTATGGGATGTAGGGAGTATGAGGTTTTTTTTTTTCTCAGACTGAGACTCAAGTCAAAGAAAGAGCTAAAGTGATGAGAAAAAGCATGAGAATCATAAAAAGTAGAAGGTAAGAGGATGAAAATCAAAGCAGGGAACCTCCCTTGGCTGGGACTAGTACATGGTTAAATATGCCTGTGTGTCCACATGTCTCACAGTCTGGTCAGCAAAGGCATAATAAACGTGACAGAAATATCCCCACACAATGTCACCAGAGTCCACGGCAGGCAGCTAATTGTTAGATAGAGCTGGGCTGTGGTTTTAGAGAGGAAAAAGAAGGCCAACTCGTAAGAGTAGAGCAAGAAACTATCCATATGTTCTTTTTTTTGAATGGCTGCATAAATATGCAAAGGAGGGTTGAGCTCATTTGACAGAGTTCAGGTTCAGGTTTTGGTGGACATTCTCTTTGGATTCATACTGTAGATGAAAGTCAGAAGGGATAGGCCTGTCTCTGCACAACGGTAGCACTAATATGCCTACCAGCAGCTCTAAAACACATGTGTTAACATGTTATATCTTGTTTATTTAATTTGTACAAAATCTGAAGTGTAAAAACAACTGTTTGTGGTTAGCCATATTTTTCCTTTACCGCTGAAGAGACTTTGTCGTATTGTTTCTGGCCTTTATGCTCAGCTAAGCTAACTGTCCCTGGGCAATAGTTTTATATATGGTTTTAAATCTCAAGAGTAGTACCAATCTTCTTATTGAAACTCAAGAAAACAAATAAACAGGTTTCCCAGGGTGTCAGACTATTCCTTTAACAATGAATTATTCCTGATGAATTGGAATTTGCCTGCTAAATGTCACATAACCATATAAACAATCCTTACTTTGCTAATTCCACACACCTTTGTCACTGTTTTAGTCAAATAAAGCAGTTAGTTGTACTAAATTGTTAAACTAGTACATCATGGCTTCATCTCACCCCACAGGTGCTATCAGTTTTGTGTACCTCAAGTACAAAAATAAGCCAGAGCACATCAATATCCACATATCAGTAATAAACCCACAACACAACATAATTCTTACATTTCATAAGGAAAGATTAATTTTGTTCAGTCAAGACCAAACCAACACTGGGCAGCAAGGTGATTAGAGCCGTTGCCTCACAGTGAGAAGGTTCTGGGTTCGTGACCTTTCTGTGTGGAGTTTACATGTTCTCTCTGGGTACTCCGGCTTCCTCCCACTGTCTAAAGACATGCAGCTTAGGTTGATTGGTGACTCTAACTTGTCCGTAGGTGTGAATGTGTGTGGGTGTGGTTGTTCATCTATGTGTTGGCCCTGCGATGGACCGGCGACGTGTCCAGGGTGTACCCCGCCTTTCGCCTGATGCTGGCTGGGATTGGCTCCAGTGACCCTGTTTGGGACTAAGTGATATAGAAAATGAGATGAGAAGACCGAACTTCCAGTATCATCCACTGGTACATGTTTTGGTGATTAAAGTTGCACCTTCGAAATGTACTGCATTAATTTAGTGTGTGCATACGACAAAAGGTCAGCATTCAATATTTTGCAGCAAACTCAAAGACAGTATCTGTTTAGCCATCAGCTGTTTAGCACATGAGGATGGGCAGGGATGGAGAATGCAAGAACTGCAGGCTGCGCTAAGCAGCTTTAATACTCTCAAATGAAGCCAAAGTGTACTGGCCGTTGAAGGGTTAAGCTGAGCTCAGTTATGGTGAGGGAAGGAGAAAGAGCTGAAATCCTTTCCACATTACAGCACACATGAGGAACACATTTAAGTGAGTTCAGCTGTCTGGAGTCTCTCTCTCTCTCTCTCATTCTCTTGCTCTCTGGCTGATTAGGGGTAAGTTCAGCACAGTTGTATATCATTACACATCTGGGAAAATGGACTCACGGACCCATAGGACACACAACAGAAAAGAAAGACAATGCACTTCATCCATAACTAACCTTTGTGGTAAAGGATGGACAAAAATGAAACAAAATGGGAGAAAGTGAAATGATTCAACTAGTTTTAATGAAAAGCATCTAATGCTTCATGATACCCCTTTAACTATCACTTTAGATTCATTTCAAACCTCAAAGCTAAATCAAGAAAGTCAAATTTGAGAAAAATCGCCATTTTTACACTCTTAAAGAAAAAACTCTGAACATGACAAACAGTGGTATTAATATTAAAACTAATAGAAATCAGAGACCTCAACATTTTAGCTCCTCCCAGCACTCCCCTACAAAAACTCCACCTCTTTGAGATTGCTCTGGTTCCTGCAGTTTTATTTTGGATGTCGACTGGCTGAGCTTTCAGGCGGGAGGAATCTCTACAGTGCTTTTTTTCCCGTATGGAAACTGCTGTTTCCCTTCAGTCCAAGGCCCACATACCACAATAATATTGCTTCCATAACTTCAGATGCTCCTGAATAGTTCTCTCTGCAGATGCTGCTTGGTAGAATAGATGGCTGCAACATCACCTAAACTTCTTTTCTTCCTTCTCTCATTCCTTGGTCATGTTTTCCTCAAGAAAAGGCACAAAGTTGGTAGGGTCCCTGCAGTGAGAGCAATGTGTGGCAGGCAGGAGTTATAGTGGGGAAGCCAAAGTTGAGGAGAAACCTTTACGCATCACTAGAAGACACCAATCATGCCTGACCTAGGACCTTCCATGTGCTGCAAAAAGTAGAGGATACATCTGAGAGAACCTTCTCATTTCATCTCCTTCCATAGTTACAGCTCACACTCTGATCAATCAGTCCTGTTGCCTGCAAACTTAATTTTTACATTTCACTTCAATGGCTGCACAAAGGAATGCTTATGTCATTCCTACATTAATGCCAGATTTCAAATGGATGTAGTGCCATACAACTCCATTCAAGTTTGCATCTTTTTCTTTTCCATGTCATCCCCAAGTGCTGAGGAGTTACTTTTGTTTCAGTGCTGCTGAACTTTAAAGTTGAAAGTAATGTCCTTGCATTCAAATCCAGGGCCTGGCCTTGCTGGTGTTATGTCACCAGTCAGCGTTTTAAGAAAGTAAAATGGCTCCTCTAGACCTCCTCTGCACTTGAATGATTTCACAGAGGGGAAGGAAGAAAATGTCTACGAAACACTTGGCTCTTGTAAAGCTAGGCAAGGCTTCTGTTGCAGAAGACAAAGTTTTCACTTATCAAGTTACTGTGTAAAATCTGTTGGGATGTTTTGTTGCATATAAAATAATTGTGACGTCTATGGCATTCAAGACTGCCATTAAACACTTCAAAATGTGGGAGGAGGGTATAAAGTTGTAACCATTAAGCATCAAAGTTCATTCTTGACATTGTACATAACCAGGAGTCTACAGCCAGGCTAGTGTCTATGTGAGGCTTTACTGAAGTGGAGTAGCTTCACCATGTTCACCATTCTAGTTTGGCTGACGGAAATGTCAATAGCTGTGCAGGTATTTTGTCATAAACCAAACTGGTGAAATTAAAATGTTGTGATTACAGTTCACCCCAAGGGGAACATGAATGTGTGTACCAAATTGAATAGCAATGCATCCAGCAGTCGAGAGTCTGGACCAGAGTGGTGGACCAACAGATGGGCTTTGCCATCTCTACAACAATGCTGTTAGTATGGCAGGTATTATGCATTTGGGTTGTTCCTATGTCCCAGTTTCGGGAATGTGATATCTCAGAAATGCCTTGAAGAAATATGGCATAAATGTCCACTTGGGCTTGATGATGAACTGATCACATTTTGGTGGTCAAAGGGCAAAGTCGG